GCCGTGTCCATGGACGAGCTGGCGGCCTTTGCCGAGTCCTACAGCCAGCGGCCGCGGCGGGCGGACAGCCAGGAGCTGCGGCGCTTCGAGCGCTCCGAGTCGCACGGCGGGCGCGGCGCCGGCGGGGGGCTGCCCCACCAGGACAGCTCCATGGAGGAATACTACACCAAGCGCTGCAGGGCCAACCGGGAGCCGCTCACGGACTCGGATCGGGGCTGGTCCTACAGCCCGCCCCGCAGGCGGGCCCACGAGGAGAAGCATCTCCCCAGGCTGGTGAGCCGGACGCCGGGAGGGAGCCAGAAATACGATCACTCCTACCTCAGCAGCGTCTTGGAGAGGAAATCCCGGAGCTACGATGAGAGCGGTGACCACTGTGCAACCCCCTCGAAGCTGAGCTCGCAGCCCAGCCAGAGAGGAGGCAGCACGTACTATGCCTGGTCGCCACCCTCCACCTACAAAGCCGACAAGTCGCAGCCGCCGCCGCCGCAGTCGTCGTCCCCCGAGCAGGACGAGGAGGAGGAGGACAGCCTGCCCCCCTACAGCGAGAGGGAGCTGAGCCGAGGCCCTTCCTACAGGGCCAGGGAACAGGCCTACCTCAATGCCTCTGACAAGAAGAGGAAAAAGGACCCCAAGAAAACAGTGAGGCCATGTCTGGTGGTCCTGGTCCAAATAGGCTGAGCGGAAAGCCACCAGGCAGGGGTTACTAAGCAGAGTTGATGGGCAAGGGGGTTTTCCAGGAGGGTAACACCTGGAGTCTGGGTGTCACTCCCTGGGGGAATGGGGGGAAGGAAATCAGAACTCCTACACTCTTACTCTTAGCTCCTACACAGGAGTCCATGATGGAGGGGAAAGGCAGATGTGCCTGGGACTGGGGAGGCAAGGGATGTCTTTGGCATCTGTGGCCTGATAGTCCAAGGTGGTGGGAGTTTATCTAGAGTTCAGGAGGATTGTGGTAGGAAAGTTACCCGGGCCTTACAGAAGTTAACAGAGCTTTGCTTTGGCCTTGATCCTTGCTAAGGAAGGGTTGAGAGCCTCTTGTTCTTCTGGACTGGGGCAGGGCTGGTAGCAGGGGATGATGTAAGAGACATCCTTCTGAAAGGGGTGAGATCACAGACTCCTGTGGGTGCATGGGCCCATGTGCTTCTGTGGGGGCCATTCATGCCAAAGGCATTCCTCACCCAGGGTACCAGCAAGTGCAGAACATCCTGCCACAGTGCAAGATAGTGAGGACTGTTGAATTCGTGGTTGCTGGAGAAGGGGATCTTCCCTATCTAAGCCAGCTGGGGAAGTCTGCAGGAGGGAGACCTTATCATTAGAGTAGCCTGGCTGTGGGAGAGAGGACTGGATTGTGAGTGGACAAAGCTGTTGCTGTTTAGTTGTCTCTGTCAAAGCTTTGTCTGTCCCTTTTTCTGTTCCAATGAGAGCTTTCCTGTTGACATTTAATCTTCTCTCTTTCCTCTCAGAATGATTTCCCAACAAGGATGTCCCTTGTGGTTTGAAGTTGTTGTGGACCTGTCATGTTGATGGGCTGGATATCATGAGGTGACTGCAGTGGAGAAGATGCAGAGCAACAATCAAGACATGCCTCTGTGAACCTTTGCAGCCATCAGCCATGCACTGTTTCAATTTTTTGTTTCATCCAGAGGAGCTGAGGCTTTTGTAAGAGACAGACTCCCATGGACAGCACTTGATCTCAGAGGCTCTGGGAGTCTGCCAGGACAATGGGGCTCTCTTTGGCACCCTGTTTTCCAGTGCCCTCTACTCTGCACTGGACAGCAGCCACATCCCTACTCGCCCTGCAGCCCTGAGCTACAAGTGAGGCTGCCTTTGTGCCTCTTGCCCTGCCCCATGTGCAGAGGGAGGCATGTGTACCTCTTGCTCTCTCTGTCTCCTCAGTTCTCTGTTTGGATCAAAATTGTCTCCATGCTTAAAACCTTTTTTGTATCACCCCCGTGCTGGGAGGAGGCTTTGTTCTTACAACTGCAGACCGCCTCCAGCTGATCAGTCCCTAAATCATGAAAGAAAATCCACATCCTTTCAGACACTGTAAGAAAATGACTGATGAGATGTTACCTTGATAAGGGCTGAATGGGGAAAGAGACAATTATGAGCTGGTTTGTTCAATATACTTAGTTCTGTTCGTTGTGTGATGAGAGTTGCAGGTGAGATTGATGTATTGTTTTGAAAGTGGGTCAAAATAGCTTTTATTGTGATGAGAGCATGATTTGTTTCCTCCCTGCCCCCAACTGTGTTTTGTTTTGATGCTGTTGCATTTCCTTGCAGCTCAACTGTGACCCTGTAGAGCTTCAAGCTGGAGTACCTACTCCACTGTTTTAACAGCAGTGGTCTAGCCTTCCTAGTGCTCTGCTTCCAGCACCACCAGACACCTCTGCCACTCTAGTGAGTGGCCTTTTTGTTTCAAGGAAGCAAAAAGGGGACAGTCTCTGTGAGAGGGCAGCTGCAGACCTTCATTCTATGCCACTGGTATCACTCCTTTCTGGGAATAGTTTCCCAGAAGAAGAAGAAGAAACTACTACTGAAAAGAGTAGTAACAGCAGTGGGAAAAGAATAAGCACTGTGGATGGATACAAGCCTTGAAAGTCACCCCTTTCACTTCAAACCATTCCATTCACTTCGGCTGGGATGTGGTTTTAGTGGCTGTTCTCTCAGGAATAGCTTTATTTAGAAATGAGTGCTTCACACCTTTTGGAAGCCTGACATTCTGGTTTTTGCAGGGTATTATGCTGTCAGTTATTTAGCTGTTAAAATCATCATGTGAGGGAAGATGATGGGAACATTTTAAGGTCCATTTTAAGGTGTTTCTAGTACACCTAGAAACAACTTAGTGCCCTGTTGTGTTGTGGACATTATCAGCCTCTGAAATGACATCTTTGTTATTCCTCTGGGAATTTGGGAAGCTGTCTGGCCTCAGATGCTCATACTGGCAGTACTGTTTGGAACACAGGGTATATTAACATCACTGCAGTTCTCCGTAAAACCGATAGATTAATTTCAATAATGCTCCTTTGCCAGATAGTTCACCCACCAGGAGTGCTCAGGGGAGAGGAAACATAATCTCAATATATTTGATGACAGTTTTCATGTGAGAAGATGAATTGATAAAAGGCTGATGTTCTTCTCCCACGCTCCTCTAGTGATGACTGTACTTTTGGAAATCCCGGTCCTGGGTCTTTCTGGCCAGAGAGGGATTAGCCAGCAGGAACATACAATTGTGGAATTGCAGAATTGTTTGTGCAGGAGGTAGCCTTCAAACATTCCATTTAAAGTTTCAACTTTGTGCAAGGCACATCTACATATGAGGTTGCTTGAAGCCCCATACAATTGGATCTTGAACACTTTCAGGGATGGGACATCTGCAGCTTCTCTGGGCAACATGTTCCAGTGTCTCACCACCCTCACAGTAAAGAATTTCTTTCTTGTATCTAATCTAAAATTACCCTCTTTTACTTGAAAATCAATTCCCTGGTAAAAAGTCTATCTCCAGCTTTCTTGTTTCCTCTAGGCACTGGAAGGCTCTAAGGTCTCCCCAGAGCCTTCTCCAGGCTTAACAGCCCTAACTCTCTCAACCTGTCTTTATAAGAAGAGGTGTTCCAGCCCCTCTGACCATTTTTGTCCCTCTCCTCCACACCTGCTCTAACAGGAACATGTCTTTGTGTGGGTGGTCCCAGAGTTGAGCAGAGTACTCTGTGTGGGGTCTCAGGAGAATGGAGGAGAGGGCAATTCCATTCTTTGGCCTGCTGGTCACTCACCTGATGCAGCCCAGGATATGAGCACGTGGCTGGCTCATGTCCAATTTTCATCCACCACTATAAAATCACAGAATTGTTGAATGGTTTGGAAGAGTCCTTAAAGATCATCTAGTTCCTCAAGTCCCTCTCAGGGCTCCCAGTCCATTCTTACCCCAGTGTGTATCAATACCAGGGGTTGCCCTGACTCAGGTGTAGCACCCCACACTTGGCTGTGTGGAACTTTGTGAGCCCACTCCTCAAGCCTGTCCCAGGGTCACTCTGGATGGCATCCCTTGCCTCCAGTGACTCCATGGCATCACCCAGCTTGGTGTCACCCTCAGACTGCTGAGAGGGCACTCAGTCCCAGAATCTTTGCCATTAATGAAGGTTGGACAGTGCCAGCCTTGGTGCAGACCCTTGAGGGACACCACTTGTTACTGATTGAGCCATTGGCTGATGCTCTGGATGTGGCCATCCAGCCAATTCCTTGTCCATCAAGTAGTCCATCCATCAAACTCATCTCTCTCCAGTTTGGAAACTAAAAGTTGTGTGGGACTGTGTCAAAGGCCAGAAGTCAAGGTGCATGACATCAGATGGATTTTCCTTATCCATCAGTGCAGTCACTCTGTCATAGAAGGTCTCCAAGTAAGCAGGAGTGATTTGTCCTTGGTGAAGCCATGTCTTTAATCACTTCTCTCCCATCTACATGCCTTGAGATGACTTCCAGGAGGATCTTTCAGGGCACAGGGGTGAGGCTGATTGGTCAAGGGTTCCCAGGGCCTTGTTCTTTTATCCATTTAAAACGGGTCTGATGTTTCCCTTTTACCAGTCACTGGGGACATGACTGCCTGAGTGCCATGACTTTTCAAACAGGGAAAGCAACTTAGCAACTGCACTTACCATCTGCCTGTATTCTGGATGGAGAGATGAACATTTTAAGTATTTTCATCTTTTTTTACCATTAATAGTGTGTGCCTGGGAAAATCACAGCATGGTTGGCAAGAGGTGGGCAGGTGGCTGCCATCTAAGGTCTGTGAGGCCTGGAGAAGAGCTACAGAGCTATTCTACATGCTGTTGTAAATCTAACATTTCATTTCTGACATATGAGGATTCTAGCAAGCTCGTGTTTTGTTAGTCTGAAAGCCTTGGCAACCCCTGTGCCATGAATTTCAAGAGAGCTTAGCCTGCTTACGTTTCCATCAGACCCAGGAAACAGCTGACATAGAAATTTGAAAGTGCATTTGACTATGCCAGAAAGGGGGCAAACCAGTGGTTTTACAATCTCTGAATACCTCTATATTTTAAATCATACTGGAAGCCCGAGCATTACAGTCTTCTCATTTCAGTTATGTTCTGTCCCTTATTTCAGTCACTGTAGTTTATTTGATCAAGCCCTCAGGAATGAGTTGTGTGTATTAAAAATACAAGTCTTCATTTATTTGAGTCGGTTTTGTTTGTTCAGTGCTGGTACTTTAGGGCATCTGTACACTATGTGTAAGAATTTGCCATTTGTGTATCTAGCTTATAAATAAGTAGTTGCAAGCTAATTCTTTTAAGAAAACTGTTTTAATAGTACAAACAACTGTTTGTGAGAACTTGGAAACATCTCTTGAATCCAAGTACCTGGAAAAGTATTGAAGATTTTATGACTAGTGATTCCGTGAGTTTTACCAAATGATAAAAGTTTCAGCTGCAGAAAAAAAAAAGGAGGTCTTAATTCCCTGAAGTCAGATCTGAGCATCAGCAACCTTGCTCTAAAATTTTGGATTTTGTATCTCTCTGTACAAATCTGCAGGAGTTTTTCAGTTACCGATCATGTCTGTCCTCAGGCCACCTTTATTTTTCCCATTAGAAATGTGTCTGCTGCAGCAGGAAATGGACCAATTCGAGAAGTGAGGGGTGACTAAAGTATCTTCACAGCTACACAACCCTAATGACCTGTGACTCCTGCAGCAGGGGAGCAGGGGGCCAGAGTCTGACAGACAGCTCGAGAGGAGCCTCCTGTTTCAGGAGAGGAGTAATGGTTTGTGTCTGTGCCATCTTTCAGAACACCTGCAGAATGCTGGTGCTGGGAAATAATGAGCCTGGTTATTATGTGTTCTCAAATTATAAGTTTTCCAGTGATGAGTTTTTATTGCTGGCATAAAATTAAAATCCTTTTCTTACTGGATATGGATGTTTGCGTCATGTCAAGGACATGGAGAGTTTTCTGGTCTTAAAATCACAGCATCACAACAGTGACTTACTAAGAAAACAGATAATGAGAGAATCCTCTAAAATTTTAAAAGAGCCCCTAGAGCAAAACCAGGATCAAACTTTAGCAGTAGATTTGGCTGTGCTGTCAAAAAAGTGATCCTGGCTACTGAAAAAAAAAAAAGGTTTTGACATAATGGAATGGGATAATAAATACCAGTGCTAATGACTTCTCATCAATCACATTATTCCTTTAAAGTACATTGTAAAAGTTCCAATGGGTGGCTTCAGTGTGAACATCCTCAGAACACTCCATTTCCACTGAAATGGAAAATTAACAAAATTAGCACTTTGAATACTTTAAAATTTTTCAGAAACCCTCAAAATTGATAAGCTGAAACAGGCAGCCAGAATCACTCAGGTCTTTGTGCTGGCATATGGTACAGGGGACTGGAGCTGTAACATCTCCACGTTTGTTACTGGAGTTGGATCAGGAGTGGCATCAGCAGTGCACCCCTGAGCTGCATTTCTGAGAGACAAAGGACAGCTGCTGGGAGAGATCTCTTAGAAGGGGCAATCACAAGTCAAACCTTGCCACAAACTGTTCTGGGTACATAAACGCAGCACCACGGTGTTCATCATGCCTGGGCTATTCTGAAAATAATTTTAATGATGTGGAGATTGCTGAGGAACTGCATGGAGCTGTCTTTTTCTCCAAGTAGCTTTCACTCAATATGTGGGTGAGGATCCCTTCTTGGTCACCAAGTACAGGGTTTGGAACATGTGGAAATAAAAGCTAAAGGGGCTTTAGCTCATTTTTTACTGGAGCAAACTAGAATCCAGGAACAAAGATGTTTTTGGCATCTGCCAGGTGCTGCAGATTTTTCCCTATAATTCCAGAAACCTCTGTGGTGTAGCATCTCCTTCAGGCTCTACTGGCTGTATGTGCTTTCTACAACAGCTGTGATGCTGAAACCACCCTCATAGTCACCTGGGGCACCTAAGGTCCTTTCTCATTTCCTGGAAGATCTGAAAAGGTATCTGTTACATAATGTGAAGGAACAGCTACCATTTTGATGTGATCTCAAAAATGCCAGCTGGATTTACCAGCATTAGAAGCAGCAAAACTGTAAAGAATAAAATTAGCTAATACTAAAGGAAGGAGCCTTCCATGATTCCCATATGAATTCTCTTGTGACCTTTATAATTTTCTCTGACTTTCACCCCTGCCTGCACAGGGGCTGTTGCCAGTGGAGGCCATCACCTCCTCTCCCTTTTGCCTGTCACTTTTTTGTCATCCTTGTAATGCCTTTCTGACCCCTCTGCTTTCCTTTGGCTATTTCCAGTCAGCCTTTAGTGTGGTGCCTAGGGGTTCCAACCAGTTTGGATGTAGAATGAGTGGCATTTTGTGAAAAGGCACTTTTACCCCCTATAAAAACAAAAATTACTGAATGCCTGCAAAAAAACCCCAAGCTCTCCAGATATACTCTCAAGCCGAAACAGGGGTGTTACTGGAATCATTTTTAAAATTAAAGCTGAACATAATTTCAAAACAGGTCAGTATTGTTTTCAACCCCAGGGCAGCTGCAGTCGGAGCTGTGGAGTGCAAACAGCAGGAGCAAATGTGTTCAGGTTTCATTGTCTTTGGTGAGAGCAGTGGCAGACAGGAGCAGCATTTAATGAGTCAGAAAGTAAATGGAGTTCCAAGGTGCTATTACTTGCATGTGACTTAGAAGTGTGAACTAGAAGTCGACAGGCTTGGCTTGAAAGCAAAATTCAGTCCAGGGAAATTTAAGCCCTGGCTCAGGGGTTCAATCCTCTTGCTGTTTACAGATGGGCTGCGCTTTTTTCCTGCCTCTGTTTGCTGCCTACCACAGCCATTTCCCAGTCATTACACAGTGAGTGAGTGGCTTTCTTTGCTGCTGTTATTTTCCTTGGATTGTCCTCCCCTGTAATGAACTTTTTTCAATATGAGGGGGTGAAGGACGCAACAATACTCTATAATGAAAATGTAACACTTTTATAGCTTTTTGGGAGACATCCACATCCCCAATTACCAAGCATTATACATTTCCCATGCCTACAGTATCGAACTTGTTGCCTTTGAGTTGTCACCATGGAGAATAAAAGCAGGAAAAGCTCCTACCAATCTGCCTTTTTATTATCCTGCAGGCAAATAATTTGCCCAATTTTTGCTAAGATATGAGCAATTTACATGAGTAGTTTTCAACCCCTTTTTTGATTAATGAGCAATAAACCAAATATTTTCCAGTGGAGCAGCAGACCCTTCATAAATCTCATACCATTCACAGGATAACATACAAAAACATTCTGCCCAGAATTTTTATACCAAAAATTCATGCAAGTACCCTATGGGGACACAGCTTCAGAGAAACTATAAACTCTCCCCTGCTCTTGCAGATGTAAAACTTTTTTTTTTTTTTTTAATTCAGAAAACTTTTATCTCTTTAGTACAGACACGTTCTTTTCTTTTGGCCTCTTTGTGCTTAGGTCTGCAGTGCTCTGGACTGGTGATTTTTGTGTCATAAACAAGCAACTTCATTCAGATTCTTTCTCAGTGTTGTAAATAATGGATTAAGACTCACACAGTTTGTAGGTGTAACCTGAACAGCATTTACATGTTTAGGTAGCTTCTGATAGGTGTTATCAGCAGTCAGGTGCAGGGGAAGCAGTTCCCAGCTCTGCTCTGTATTTCCCTCTGCAAGGTACAGCATCTCCTGGCTCGAAAATTGTCACTCATCCTCTATTTTACCACCTGTAAAAGTGCTCAGTGTTTCTTTGGGCTTCTTTATCATTCCTCCATCCATCCCTCAATGCTCCCCCTCTGCAGAAGTCTCCAAGCCAACCTGGAGCAGGGAGATGCCCATCCATACCTTAAAGACTAATGAGGGTGAGGAAGACCTGACAGCATTGAGAGGTCACCCAGCTCAGAGCTCTGCAGGAAACCACTGCTGGGTGGGAAAGTGTTTGTGCAGAGGTGCCTTGCAGCTCCCTCTGTAATTCCTGGTTCCAGCTTGCACTCTGCCATGCCCAGTCACACTTATCCATGAGCCTGTAGGTACAGGTTTGTGGTTCAGGGCCATTTCTGAATTAGAGAAAGGAGTCTGAAAATATTGCCTCAAATGGCACAGGACCACTTATGACAGCAGGTGCAGTGTTTTCATTTAGTCCTTGCTGTGTGACAGAAATCCTTTCTGCTTGCATGTCAAATTGGTTTTCCATCAGCCTCTCCAGAGCAGGTGGGAGTGATTTTCATGTCCCAGTTATCAGATCTTCTCTTTGAGCAACAAATCACTCAGTGCACTTGTCTCTGAATAGGTACTCCAGGGTGGTGAGAGGCAGAGCTCCAACTGGTTGCATTTTAAACTCAAGAGCCTGCTAAATCATTAATTAATTTAGTCTCTCAAAGTTTTCTGCTTCCTGGCAAAACCAGAATGTGTGTTTCTACAGGCCCCAAGCCTGCTCACCTTGGAATTACAAATTTTGGCAAAGACTTTTAATATCCAGTAGGGGTGAGATCAGGTAAAGCAGTAGCACAAAAAGCTAAAAGCTTTAGCTTGTGTAAAGTGTGTAAAAGGTGTGTAAAGTGTGTAAAAAGTATAAAGATACACTGCCCACTGCTGTGTCCTTCCAGTATGTCTATTTGTCATTACTAAAATTATGTGCAATGACAGCAAAGACACCCATGGTCCTTGCAAATGGATCTCTGACAGGAGGATGTAGGGGGAAATGTGGGTTAAAGCAAGTCAGCCAAGTGAGAATGCCTAGAGGTCTCTGGCACCTGGGACTGTGCCCTGTTGGGAAGGACACAGCCCAGCAGGATTTAGTGCTGCTGGCTCTGGGCTGCCCTCAGGGAACAGCCCTGCTGCTGACAGCATCCCTGGCAAGGGGTTTGCAACCAGTTAAAGTTTGAGCAATGCTGGTCCTACAAATCTTCATGAATGAACTTGGCCACAATTACTGAGTGCAATACAGAAAGGGTGTGTGGATCTGGAATCTGGAACACTTTTCTTTGTAACTTGGAGTCCCAGCTCCTTGAGCTGAAGCTTTCAGCACAGTCAAATGCTCAGGATTTCTGAGAAAGTAAAACTACTCAAATTGGTAAAACCACAGTGCACACAACACCCCAGGGCAACCAATTTACAGAGACAGCAATGTGCAACTCTGGCAGCCAGAACCTACTGATGCAACTTGGAACAGCATCTTTGTGGAGCTGAGCTGCCA